GTGAAGAAGAAACAGCAAAAGTCTGAAGAGTGCCTTTAGTAACTTGATCACGGACGACGTGGCAATCAATTTCAATGTGCTTGGTACGTTCATGAAATACAGGATTAGCCGCAATGTGAAGAGCAGCTTGATTGTCACAAAACAAGTGTGCAGGTGATGTATGAGTAACACGCATGTCCTTGAGTAAAGAGAACATCCAAAGAATTTCACAAGTAACATTGGCCATAGACATGTATTCAGCTTCAGCAGAAGAACGAGAGACAGTTCCTTGTTTCTTGGACTTCCAAGAGATGAGTGAGTCACCAATGAAGATGCAGTAGCCAGTAACAGATCGACGACTATCTGGGCATGCAACCCAGTCAGAATCAGAGAAAGCATTAAGTTGTATAGTAGAAGTGGCAGAGAAAAAGAGACCCTGGCCAGCAGTGCGTTTGATATATGCTAGAACACGGTGGGCAGCTTGCATGTGAGGGACCCGTGGTGCTGACATGAACTGACTGAGTCTGTTAATTGCAAAAGAAAGGTCAGGTCTTGTAATTGTTAAGTAGAGGAGCTTCCCAATGAGACGTCTATAAGGAGTAGGATCAGGGAGAAGATCCCCTGATTCAGTAGACATGCGCAGATTAGCTTCCATTGGAGTGGACTGAGGCTTGCAACCAAGGAAACCACAGTCTTGCAGAATGGTCAGAGCATACTGACGTTGTGTCAAAAAAATTCCACGGTGTGATCTAGCTACCTCAAGACCCAAAAAAATACTTGAGAGCTCCAAGATTTTTCAATTTAAATATGTCATTCAACGAAGAAGCAAGAGTATGCATCTCAACAGAGTTATTAGAAGCAAGTATTATATCATCCACATAAACCAGCACAGCAATGAAATAAGTGTCAGTGAAATAAGTAAACAAAGAATGATCAGAGGATGACTGAATAAATCCAAGAGAGATTAAGGTGCTGGAAAATTTTGCAAACCATTGACGAGATGCTTGCTTGAGTCCGTAAAGAGATTTTTGAAGACGGCAAACTGCACGTTGAGGAAGGGACTCCCCCTTTCCAAAATAACCCGGAGGCAGAGACATGTATACCTCTTCAACAAGGTCTCCATGCAAAAAAGCATTGTTAACGTCAAGTTGAATCAAATGCCAATTATTAATGGCAGCAAGGGAAAGCAAAACACGAACAGTTGTAATTTTTGCTACAGGAGAAAAAGTCTCCAAAAAATCAACACCTTCCTGTTGAGAAAAACCCTTAGCAACCAAACGGGCTTTGTATCTTTCAAGGCTGTCATCAGAGTTGTATTTTACCTTATAAACCCATTTACAGCCAATGGGACGTTTACCAGGGGGTAGGGAGACTATCTTCCAAGTGTTGTTATGCTCCAAAGCTGAAATTTCTGCATCCATGGCTGCACACCAATCGGGAAGTTGGGATGCTTCAGAGAAAGTTGAAGGTTCAAAGTGGGACGAGAGGGCATTAATAAAGGCAGTATGTGATGGGGATAAATTGCTATAGGATAAGAAATTAGAGATTGGATGAGCAGTGGAGGTACAAATATAATCAAGTAGATGAGGTGGGGGTTTTCTGGTGCGGGATGGATTGGAAGAGGAAGGCTGTAAAGTTTCAGTGGTATGTGGTGAAGGGGTAGATGGAATAGGAGTGTGAAAAGAAGAACCAGATGCGAAAGGAAAAATAGATTCGTGAAAAACAACATCTCTGGACACAAAGACTCGATTAGTAGAGAGATCAAGCAGTTTGTAACCCTTGTATCCTGGGGGGTAACCTAGGAAGACGGCTGGAAGGGCTCGGGGAGAAAACTTATGACGCCCACGATGAAGAGTTGACGGATAACACAAACAGCCAAAAATTCTGAGATGTGAGTAGGAAGGAATCTTACGAGACAAAAGTTCAAAAGGTGTTTTGTGGGAGAGGAGTGGAGATGGGGTTCGGTTTATGATGTAAAGAGCTGTGTGAACACAATCATGCCAGTAATTTAAAGGAACTTGAGACTGGAAATAAAGGGCTCTGGCAATGTTCAAAATATGCTGGTGTTTTCTTTCAACAACAGAATTTTGTTGGGGTCTTTCGACACAAGAATGAAAAAGTTGAATACCTCTAGAAAGAAAAAAATCAGTGAGGCAAAATTCAGGAGCGTTGTCACAGCGAATTGCCTTAATAGACTTGCTGTATTGATTGTAAACCAGGGCAAAAAATTGAGGAAAAATAGTGGAAAAATCATTTTCATTTTTAAGAAAATAAACCCAGGTGAAACGAGTAGCATCATCAACCAAAGTCAGAAAGTAACGAAAACCATCTATAGAAACAGGGGTAAAAGGGCCCCAAATGTCACAGTGTATCAAATCAAAAGTAGAAGAAGAAAGTTTGGGATCCAAAATAAAAGGTAATCGTTTTTGTTTTGCCAGTGGACAGATATTACAATGAAAAGTGGGACATGCAGTGTCTGTAAAATGTAAAGTGTCTCTCAAACGATGTAAAACATTCGAAGAAAGATGGCCTAATCGAGAGTGCCATAAATGAAAAGAGTGCAAGGAAACATTAAAGCAAAGGGGATGAGGGACATTAACTTTGGGAAAAGGAGAAGCAGTATCCAAAATATAAAGATCTCCAAGCCGATTAGCAATCCCAATCATCCTGCGTGAGGCACTGTCCTGTAAAGAACAATGAGAAGAAAAGAAATGAGCAGTGATGGACGAATCACGAGTAAGGGCACTAACAGACAACATGTTAAAAGAAAAAGACGGAACAAGCAAAACGTTTTGCAAAATAACAGACGGAAAAAGAGAAACAGAGCCTGTAGACGCAATAGAAACAGAAGAACCAGTGGGAAGGGAAATAATGGAACTAAAATCAGAAGAAGAGGATTTAAAAAATAGAGAAGAGAAAACAACGTGATGAGTTGCTCCAGTGTCTATTACCCAAGAGGAGGGAGATAAAGAAGATGGCATACCACTGAAACTGGCGACGGTTGGAGAAGATGAATCTGTCGGTGGTGAGGTGGAGGCTTTCGGTGGGGAAAGAGGGCCAGGGTTGGATTGAAGAAGGTGGAGTAATTTGGAGTATTGGTCCGAAGTCAGTTGGGGATAAACAGGGCCTGAGTCATTGGGCCCATGGTTCGGGTGAGGGGAATTAAAGGTCATATGGGCTTGGGCCGAGGGTGAAGGAAAATTGGGTCTAGGGGATTTAGGCTTGTAACCCGGAGGAAAACCGTGAATCTTGAAGCATTTATCCCTGTTGTGTCCATGAATGTTGCAGTGGGTGCAGAAAGGGCGATTACGGCGAGGATTATTCATAGCAGCAGCCATAGGAGAAGAAATAGCAAGAGAAGAGCCAAGAACACCGGAAGCAGCAACTGAATTGAGCAGGGGCATCTCAGTCATGACAGGGAGTGTGGTTGAAATCTGCCTCTGACGTTCCTCTTGCAAAACAAGAGAGAAAACTCGTGGGAGACTTGGTAACGGCTCCATAAGCAGAATCTGAGCACGGATCGAAGAAAAAGACTCATTAAGCCCCATGAGGAATTGAAGAGCATGGTCCTGCTGTTGAGAAGCATGGAGTAAGCGAAGGCCACCACAGGTGCATTGAAGCGTAGGAGAAAAATCCTGGAGTTCATCCCATAGGATTTTGAGCTTCGTGTAGTAACTATTAACATCCAAGGCACCTTGATGAAGCGATGAGATCTGTTGTTTCAGCTGAAAGATGCGTGGACCATTCGCCTGATGAAAGCGAGCACGAAGGTCAGACCAGAGATCATAAGCAGTAGTGAAATAGTTAAGGCTGTCTGCAATCTCCTTGGAAATGGAATTAAGAAGCCAGGAGGTAACCATGGAATTGCATCTATTCCAGGAAGGAAAAAGAAGATCATCGGAAGAAGGGCGAAGAAGAGAGCCATCAACGAAGAAAACTTTGTTCTTCGCGGTCAGTGCTAAGAGCATGGCCCTGCGCCAAGAATTAAAATTCGTCCCAAGAAGAGTATGGGGAACAAGGATGAGACCCGGATGATCACCATTATGAAGATGGTAGGGGCTAGAGACATCCTCCATAGAAGTAGAGGATGGAATAGGAGTAGAGGCTGAAGCAGGAGCTGAAGAGTTGGAAGTAGATTTTGTACCTCGAGCCATAGGTGAGGTTTAGAAAATATCATCTGATACCATTTTAGATATTGAAGCCCAGAAAATTGGAAAGGAAAACTAACTTTCATTATTCAGAAAAACTAAATTCACTAAGTACAATGTGTCCTTTGTGGGAATATATCAGCAACCTAAAAAACAGAATGCAGCTAGATCCGTAAAAAGTGCTAAACGGTTACATCCACTGATGAGGTGGCAGAAATCCAAATACAATGAAGAAAACAAAATAACAGAAATGAAATATATTCTAATATTAAACGAGCTTTTATACAAGTCCAATCCTGGGTCCAACAATAAATTGTAGACATATAAGCTCAGGCATTCACGAGCCGAGCCAAAGTCACTAGCTCATTTAGCACCTTTATATATACCCCACCCACCCGAAAAAAAAAAAACCATTGGCACACAGTTTTCTCCCACGATTCTAGCTAAGGCCGTCCTGTTTTGTTATCAGCAAAAGGACAAGAAGGGAAAATGCCACTATGGAGAATGAAACTGAATGATTTGGTAATCACTTTTCAATTCACGACCGTAAAAAGCGCGTCGTACCGTCTGTGGTCGGCAATGGAAAAAGAAGCAAAGAAAGTAAGAAAGAGCAAACCTGCATTCTCATTTTCACCAGCTTTTGCCATTTGCTTACTCGCAACAGAGCAAGTTCATTTTCATATCCAATATTTAATTTTCCTCTCTCTTGAATATGACTTTCTATTAATAATTTATTGCATGCCTTGGACTTCTTATATTTGAATAATTGTATTTGTTATATATATATTTTGGTGTATAGAAGAAAGTTTGTTGAGATGTTGTGTTGTGTTAACTTCAGAGAGGCATAAAATAGCAGAGTCTCGAGGCATGGCGATGGCGTCGTTGAAGGTGGATTTGCCACGACAGTGTTCATCCCTTTCGAAGAACATCAACATGGACAACCTCGTCAAGGACAGCGTCGACGAGGTCTGGAAGGAGATCGTTGCCGGCGCTGAAACACAACAGTTGACACTCGAGGATTTCTTGACCAAGGCTGGGTCTGTCAGAGACAATGACGTCACACATAGCATGCTGTCTCCTCACATGGTTGCCAATGCCAAAACGTCATCAAAAGTGCGCGGAAGGGGAAAGAGGAAGAAGACTGTGGAGGAACTCGTCGATAAGGCCACTCTTCAGAGGCAGAGAAGGATGATTAAGAACAGAGAGTCAGCTGCTAGATCCAGGGAACGCAAGCAGGTTTTCTCTTTTTTTAATTCGGTTCATATTCTTTTTTTTCTTCGAATTCTTAGAATGAGTCTGGTTTGGTTCAATTCAATTTTTTTTAAGTCGAAATAAATCGAATTGATAAGGTGCATGGACAGCATGGTTCTCTAAACAGAACCGGTCTAGAAAAATAGTTTTATTCGTGAACTAATTTTTAAAGGCTTTAATGTTTTTCTTAAACGTAGACAAGTTATCTATGTTCATTCTCAAAACGATGTCGTTTTTGGTTAAAAAATTATAATAAAAAAGACTATTATAACCCTGAAATAAATTATAATTACAAAAATACTTTGATTTCTGTTTCAAAACGACATCGTTTCAGGCTAGATAAGTTATCTACTTTGAATAGAAAAAGCTAACCCATTTTTAAAATGTTATTTATTATGCACTTCGATTTGGTTAATATGATTTTTTTTTCTTTTGCATATGCTATCAAAGGCTTACACAGTTGAGCTAGAGTCTTTGGTTACACATCTGGAGGAAGAAAATGCACGATTGTTACGGGAACAGGTATGCTCGCAGCTCATATTCTTTGGACTTGATTAAATTACTGGAATCCTTTTCTAAAGCTCTTTCAGAAATATTGTAATGTGATGAAGGTGTTTTGAAATTAAAATAAGCTGATCCAACCACACAAATGTCTGAATTTATTTATATTCTTCAAATTCGATCAAGCCCCACCATATATGAAGCACTTTGCTGGCATTTCTTACAAGTCAAGTTTAAGAAAAAGTTTAAACCTTCCATTGGTGGAATGGTGGGTTCTAAAATCTTATTTTTGAGTTACGTCATGTGTTATTGTTATGGACAGGACAGTAATTGGTGGGTTAATAAAACTTTACCATTGTTCTCGATACTCATACTGAATCACTCCTCACTAGCCTTCACACCTCCCATTTTAATTCTTGTCTCTCACGGTGACTTCCATTAAGCTATAATTCACACTATTTGTTTCTATTTATCTATGTGATATTCGTCTACTTCACTCTTCAAGGAAAGACATTACCTTTCCTACCCCTAACAAGAGTTTAGTTATTTTTTTCCAAGCTGAGATTTTGTTGCTTTTTTTTTTTTTTTTTTTCTCTTTTGCTTAAAGTCTGATTCGTTAGTTTTTGAAGTATTGGGTCTTGCATGCAGGATGATAAGAAAAAGCAGAGGCTTAACCAGGTATGTAGCATATCTGCTCTTTTTCTGGTTCAAACCAGGCTGATAAGTGAGTTCTCATGATTCTTGTATATTTAACCTGATTTAGTAGAAGCTGTCATGGAATGGTTTACCGCAAGTAAAAAAGTCAAATTCCGTTTGTTTGTTTGTTTTTATAACTAAAAAAATAGTAACCTGAACTAAGCTCTGAGTTTAAATTTGGAAGGTATAGGAAATTCCAGCAAAATCAAGTTTTCAAGTATTATATTAAAAAACAAATGGCCAGAGTTGTAAATATTAGAATTTGAAAAGTAAGTCGGCTGAGGTTTGTGGGTGTAAGTAACACCTTTATTTATTTATTTTGTCTATTCTCTCTGTATGATTTATTTTTTTCTCTCATTTAAAATGACACAACTTTATATCTTTTAAAATGAACATATTTTTTCCTTATTTTAATGATTATTTCTTCCGTATCCATTTTTTTCCCTTTTAGCAAGGGAGTACCTACTCCCTAGCGTTGAAAAAGTGATCGTGGCTGTTGGGTATGGCTCATACTTCGCATGTTGATGATGGCCCTAATTGTCGGGGTCAGGAGAAAGGCAACTGGGATCCCGCTCCCAAGTGAGCGGGGGGGTCCGGGGGAGCCGTCCCAGCGGAGGTCCGGGGGGCAGCGCCCCCAGACTCGTAGATGCTAGGTACTGTTGTGAGCCTCTGTTTTTATTGTAATTTTCTTAGCAGTTTGGGCTTGGGCCCATGAATAGCTGTTGTTAGAGTTTTATAATCCTATTTATATTTGCCTTGTAAACCGAGTGACTTGTAACGAGTGGCGGGGAGGTGAATATAATACAGACAAGCTGGACGTAGCCTAAATTGGGTGAACCAGGATAAATCGCTCTGTCTATCCTCTCTCTTTTTCTTTTCCGTTTTTTGATTTGTGTGTTGTCGATTTCCAACAGTGGCTAGGGGTTGCGACCGTGACCCCCTATTGGGAAAATAATTTTCACTCATCCTATTTACCTAATTTTTGGATGGTTAAACACCAGATGGATCAATCAACCCTTCCATTCAACCTCAGCTGCCGTATTAGTTATTTTCAATTGCTTTGATCACTATTTTATTGCTCCTCTCTTTTGGAATGATTTGCCTTGGAAGTCATGAAGTCGTTAAGATGAACTAAACCACTGTTATTAATGACCAAAACTCCTCCTTCATGACAGATCAGAATCTTATTTCTCTGCACTCTAAACTGTTCTGCCTATCATTTTTACTTAATCATGCAAAATCCCATATGTTTGGTATAATTGCCTTGCACATGTTTGGTACTCGAATGTTAGTAAAATCCCTATCCCCTTCATTCTTTCCTGCAGCTTTTGGAGTGCCTCATTCCAGTTGTGGAGAAGTGTAAACCAAGACGAATGCTTCGGAGAGTGAATTCTGTCCAATGGTGATGTAGTCTGTTGTTTGTTATAACAGATTAAGCAATCAAATGATGCCAGATAGTGTTAATTGTTAAAGGGTAGATATGAAAAAGATGGAGAACGTTTCGAAGCTTTATATATATATATATGGAGCAGGATATTCTTACACTGGTGTAAGAGTTAGAAGTCTTACCCTCAATCTTGACCATTGATCCACTTGTATCCAATAGCTCACATTACTAAAAAATTTGAGCCCTTAGATATAAATGGGATCAGTGGACAAGATTAAGAGTGTAACTTACACTGGTGTAAAATGATCCTAACCCTATATATATATATATATATATATATATATATATATATATATATATATATATATATATGTGGTTTAAATTGTCTTTTTTTATAGAAGATACTTATTTTATGCTAGTGAGGCATAAAAAATTGTGCCATTCTTTTTTTTTTTTTTTTTTAAATGGTGGAATCCACATAATTTGTTTCTATGCATGATACAAGCTATCTTCTATTAAAGGAGATTAGTAAATCCCTCTATATATATATATATATATATATATATATATATATATATATATATATATTTGAGATAGCAGTGTTATATGTATATTTGAGATAGCAGTGTCAATGTACGTATTTGGCTGATTGGAATTTTATTTTCATTTTATTTTGACAAAATGCTAGCATTAATTATTTTAACGTTTATAATCACTACCTTGTCACAAAATGTGAGTAGCCATGAACTGATATTAGAGAATGAGAAAGATTATATTTATAACTTTTTATAATTTAATTTTAACTGTTGATTTTTGTCAATTTAACCATTATAATTTATTAAAATTTAATAATTATAACCTCCATCTTAAATAATTAAATTTTGAGCAAGGGCTAAAGTAGTTCCTAAGACTACTGTTATTATACCTAACAAATGATATTTTAATTCCCGGGTTCTTGTAAAAGAAAAGGTATAATTTATCCACTTTTTAAGTGAAGTAGGATTTTTCCCCCTTAATGGATAACCCTTTAATGAACCGCTTCACCTCGTTTGTTTCATCAAACCGTATATATATATAATCTTTAATTTAGAAAAAAAAAAACAGAAACCGTTTCAACCAATCGATAGACCTCGAGAGCGGATTTTGCTAAAACTCTAAGGGGCGTTTAGTAGAGGAGAAATTTTTTTTATCCAAGAATCATGATTCCCGAAAATATAATAGAAAAATGAGTTTTTCGGGAATGTTATCAAGAAACTGTTTGATAAGTCAAAATATTACCGGATATATTGGATAAAAATTACTGAGTCTTTGTTTGGTTGTTTAGGAAATATTAATGGAAAAATAAGGTTATTTTACAAAAATAACCCCTTTGTATTTTTACTTTTGCACGATTTACGGTCTGAATTTCGTAGATCCACCTTCGTTGAAACTTTAACGAGTAAATACCATTTTTGGTCCTCAGCAAATTTTACGATGCTCGCTTTAGTCCCTAGCAAATAAAAAGGCCCATTGTGGTCCCTAAGAAATTCAAAATGGACCCATTTGGTTGAAATCGTGGTCCCTCACAAATTCAAAAAAGATCCATATTAGTCCCTAAAAGGACTAAAATAGGTTCATTTTGAATTTCTTAGGGACCACGATAAGCCTTTTTATTTGCTAGGGACTAAAGCGGGCATCATAAAATTTGCTGAGGACCAAAAAAGATATTTACTCAACTTTAATTTATGGTTTTCTTTGTTCTCATCCCGGTGCACTGAGCTTAAGAATTTCTAAAGCAATGAAATTGTTTATGAAGATAAGGGTCAATATGGATCTAAAAGGGCAACTAAACAAAACAAACAAAACGAAAATAATGGAGATTAGCTTCAAGTATCGGACGGTAAACACAAAATACAAAACTCACAGGATATCGAATGTGTGCTTGCAATTTTTACAATACTCAGCAACGACGACCTTTTTAAAGCACGTTGCAAAAAAAAAAAGGGTGAAAAAGTCCAAAAAAAAAAATGTAAATTTGTCCAAAAAATCGGATTTACCAAATACCACTTATTTTGTGGTATTTCTTCGGGGAGCGTTTGGTTCAGGAATTTTTTTTGGAATAGTAGAGAAATGAGATAGATAGAAAAATGATTGAAAAGATAGATAAAGTGAGATAGATAGAAAAATGTAAAAAAAAAGTTGTTTGGTGGAGAAAAATTTTAATGGAAAAGTATACAAAGAAATTCAACAAACAGTGACTTATCCGTGGTTTTTCAAAAACCCACCTACCAAAATGGTTTTCTGACAGTGTCGAAAGCCATCTTTTTCATTTCCAATTCAGAAACCTATGCATTTTAGTTGTCTAGTTTTTTGGTCTGAAGGAGCTTCACCAAACATGTGCTTCTTGGAAACCTTGTGTTAAATGCCTAAGAAAATTTCATAAAGATGCCAACCAAACGCCACCTCATGGTATTTTGACCATTATTTTACACTACAATGAAGATGCTGGACAAAATGGAATCATGGAAAAAAATTTGCAAAACCTCTACCAAACACAGGTTAAGTGGAATCCCAAATGAGCTTTTCCAGGATTCTAAAATATATACTCCTACCAAACAGCCCGTATAATATTGAAAACTCACTTAAGACTTAAGATATGAAACTTTGAGGATTCAGAGATGTTTTTGTTATTTTCAATAATAGAGCTTAATAATTAATCGTTCCTTGTAAGGCCCATTCCGTTCATTTAGCTCGCAATAAACCAATTAGTTCGCCGGGTAAAAAAACATTCGATGTTCCTTCTCAGAAGAAAAGGAGCTTTATAGGCAGAAAAGTAGCTACAATACTAAATACGCGTTATCAACGACAAAAAATGTTTGCTTTATTTCAGTTTGCGCAATCTTAACACATATATTGCTAACCCTCAGCGGTGATGAAATTTGAATTGTATTGATGTATATCTGGCCAAAGTAAGGATACTGGATGCATATTTTTTTTTTTTTTTAAATATTCCAATCGATTCATTGTTTCGCAACTAATTTGATCCGGGACAGGTTCAGATTAAGGCTTTAAACCCTTTCCAAAAGTGATACTGGAGAGATTCGAACACATACTCTCACCCCACCTACTTAGATCCCATACGCCAACTAAGCTACTACCGTATGTACATGCATAATTGTGAGAAAGAGGTTTATTACCAAGTATTTTGTTAAAAGTCTGCATCCATCTTAAGTTATCCATTCGCACAAATCTTTGCCCATTTTTATATGATTATTGTATTATTATTTTTTACCATTTATCATTGATATATTGTTTTTTCTCATATAATTCATGAAAGTAGGCGCTGCAATACTTGCAAACATTCCGGCCGCTTGAGTTTATATACAGGAATAGATAAAAGGAGTAAACGCATATTAATTAATTAAGTTTTGGACATATATAATATGCTAATTTAATTAAGTTGGAAGGAGAAAATTATTGTATTGAAATCAAGTCACACATGACATGATAAGCAAACGTAGATATAAAGATAAGGCAGATCCTCGAGGCCTTCACATTGTTCATGAAACAGCCTCTGTTATCATGCAAATATCACACAAGGAATTCACTGGCTTCCACGCTTTTCTCGTGCTCTTTTGCATCTTCTACATCTTTTTTCTCTTCTAGTTGTTGATTCACGTCATCAACAACACCGTTGGCAGCCACTGGGATTGGGAACACTTCACAAGTCCCCAATGGGTTCACAACAACAATGTTTTTCATTGGCTCTAATGCTTTCTCATTTTCCTCTTTCACAAACTGTTTTTTAACGCCACCATTCCTGTAAATAGCATATAGCACCATCTGAACTAGCCCCAGAGCAAAACCCAACACATTTGGGAGCTGCATAAAATGGGACAAAAAAAAAAAGCGTTAATAGCTGATTATTAATTGATAATGTTGCTTTCTTATTAAACCAACTCAATGTAAAAGATACTTACAGCAATGCATATGTCCTTCAGCAAGAGACCATATGCAAACCACATTGTGGCACTCAATGTCAGGAAAAATGACAAATTTATTGGCATAAATTGTACACTCTTTGTTCGAATAACCTGTGCCTGCATAGTGACACATAACAGGCAAATGATGTACTTAAGTCCCATATTGGTTAGAATGAAGTAAGTAATGATCATGGGACCTATAAATCCAATCCTAAAGATTTGATTGTTGGCTACTTAGAAGCATTGAAGAATTTTTACTCACCACAATGCTTAGAGGTGCTGCAAAGACACTCACTGCAATTGAGACACAAATCCATCCAAGGACTTGCACACGGAGGGAACCATGTAGAGCAAAATATGTGGTGCAGAAGATAAGGGTGATGGAGACCACGTTCATCGCCACAAATAGTTTAATGGTTAACATCTGCAATTAATTAAAAGTTTAGTATAAACTTTCATGACAAATGTGATATATGTATCAACATATAGTTGGGGTTCATATATATATACCCTGGCATCCTTAGGAGCATAGATTATGTACATGATAATGTAGATAATCTCTATGAAACATCCAGCTGAGTTAATTGTAAGAAGGAGAAAAGCATCTTTTTTGACAAAAGCGTAGTATAACCAAAGCACACAACTGAATAATGCCACCAAGTAAGGCAATGATTGGAAACCTTCAGTTGATTTCTTTTTGTATATTTTGTAAAACGTTGGCCTGCAATTCAGGAAAGGAAAAACACGGTGTTATGTTTATTGATTAAAATTTAAATAGGTCTTACATTCATTAATTAAATGGAAGTCTAACAATTAATTGGTATATATAATATACTTACAGCGGAGCCAAGAACACCATGAAGGAAATGATGTTACCTAGATATCAAAAGGAGACATTGTTAATTTGTTTGCTTTAGAAAAATTACAAGTGGTTATGATTAGAATAGATTATTGTATTAACTATTAAGAGTTAAAACACGGTGCACCAAAAATGTAGTGAGCAACTAAACGGTGCTACCTCAGTTGGCAGTAAGGAGCAAAGTAAGTGGAAAGAATCGGTTCAATCACTACATGCTACTTTTGGGAGAGATTTAAATAATTTTATCTTTGATCCATCTCGCACTCTGATTTATCTCGTAGTCGGCTCAAAGAATCGAAGCTTGTGGGAATATCAGAGGGAGCCGACACGTCTCAAAAAGATAATTAGAATTGTATTAACTCAAAAAAAAAATAAAAAAAAATGTAGAGAGCAGCTAGAATTCACTATGCTTCATGTCTGAACAACTATGAAGTGGGAATTTGTGATCAACCTAGAACTCAACTATAATTTATAGGAATAGTTCCAAAAGAAGGAAAAGAGGGGAAAAAAAAGAGAAAATTTTCAGCAACTGAAAGATAGCTATGATGATGACCATTGTGTGTTACCTAGTAAGCCAAAAGTAAAAGCCAAAGGGTTGTTGATAGCCATCCTCTCTCTTCTTTTCCTCTTTAGATTATAAGCAAAAGCACAAGGTTTGAGGGTTGCTGAGGAAACCTTATAGCTGGGTTTCTTCCAAATCAACCCCTCAATCTCGTGCAGGCACTGAATGAGGATGTGTTAGCAACTGATGCTATTTATACACAAGCGGACATATAGAGAGAGAAGGAAAAGAAAGAAAGAAATAGTACAGAGAAAATAAAGCACCTAAAAAAAGAAAAAGATAGCACAAAGTACATATTGTTATTATGGGTGGAGAGGGGGGTTGCCTATACTGCGTAATGAAGTCATTCACGATTCATGAGGGATTAATTTTTTTTAGTAGGTAGCGTAGTACAATACCATTTGCCTTGCCAAATCAGGAATAGAGAAAATTGAGATCTATGTAAAAATTTTAAATGCATCCAATACAAGATATAACACGTAGCATACGAATGGTTGTGTATCATATACTCATGTAAGAAAATTTTGGATTTCTAGAATGTCATTCTTGCCATGTGTCTAATTGGTGTCGCATCTGCTATATACCAATAGAAAGAATGCACTAGGCTAGATAAAGATAGAAAGCGTGTAATCAACAAAATCTAGTACAGTTGGTAGATAGCTGACTTCCTTAAACATGTTGATAGGGATTTGATTTCTGACTGTGTGTATGAAAAATGTTTTGTTAAAAGAAATTTACCCACTTAATATGATTTTCCATCTCGAAAATATTAATTTTCGGCCGTCGGCGACAGAATACTTTGAAAAAGAAAAGAAAAGATGGAAAGTGTGGCAATATTTAGAATTCATGGCATGCCACATGCAACTCTCGTCATTCTAATATATTTTTTGTCGTTGGTTACGTTAAAGGTGTCCAAGGTAGAGAGATGGGGGTAGGGAAAAATTCACGTGAGAGCTTCAATTCCCACAACACGCCCTCTGGCCGTTTCTCAGTTATCACTATTCACTGGTTTTGCTGCTTTTGCATCCAATGCCAAACCAAACATGCCTTGCTGTGTCAGCTGTAAAGTGTCATTTCACCTCTCTAATCTCTTCGTGTGTCACACACTTTCTCTGCCGTTCCGTTGTTCCATTGTCTCATAGTGTGAGCTAGCTGATTTTGTGTGCACTTTGAATGTTTTTCGTGTGTCAGTGGCATCTCACTTGTTTTTTTCCTCGTCAAGCCTTTCATTTCGTGCAGTTATGCAAAAGGAGGGAATAGGACAAAATAAAAACCACCATCAATGATGTTTGATGGTATTTCTTCTTTTTCTATGTACTGCCAAGTCAAGCTGTAATTTGTTTGGTTGAGTTCTAATCAAGTAACTACGTAACTATAGTATCCTAATTGTGAAAAATATTTTCGCTATTTCCGTAGTATTAATGAAGACTCCTACATCATTGCTAAAATAAAATAAAAAACTAACATACATAATTATATTTATTTCACCCATTATTTTTTATTTTCAATAAAGGAGTACACTGAACACATTAGGTTACCGATTAATCTTTTTGTTGTGAGATTAGATAGAAAAATTGACCATAAAAAATCGAAAATTAAGTTGGCTTTGAGGGAATCTTGCATTTAGCGTTGTCCCACAGTGCTCCACTAAGGCACTAACATGGTTTTACAATATCTAGGCTTGTATAATTAAACAAACATACCCTGAAGTGAGAATGCATAATTTATGTTTATTGGCAATTTGGCAGTGTTACCTATTACCTACCCCATGGCCAATTAAGACTCCAATATTTGAATGGAATGGATAACAACTTTCGCACTGAAGATTGCTGATTGATGCTATAATCAATTAAGTAGTAGGAATAATTACCAAAAACAAAAAAAATTATGTAGTAGCAATTAAGTTCCAAAAATCGGCAGAACTGATTTAGAGCTTGCAATATTGTGTTTTGTGCACGAGATTCGAAGGCAATATGCAAAAGCAATTATAGTCTAATAATTTGAATGGATAACAATGAAACTTTACTTTCAGATAGGGTGTTGATATGCTTCTAGCATATATAGTTTTCTAAGTTAAAAAGAGCAAGGAATTAATTCACTTTTAAAGAAAAATGCTTAAATTTGTTATAAAGTTGATAAATCATGCTTAATTCTTCTCTCACTGAATTTCTGTGATTTTTGTAGGAAAAAATACTAGAAAAGGACGTGTTTTAAGGACTAAAGAAAGATGAAGACAGTGCTGCCGCGCTACAAGCGCGAAATCCGCGCTAGTAGCGAGGGAAAATTTTCACAATGCAAAAGTACCGCGCTACAAGCGCGGGATCCGCGCTAGTAGCGCGGGAGAATTCCTACATATACAATGTTACCGCGCTAGTAGCACGGGATTCAGTTGCCTTTGTTATTTTCACCGCGCTAGTAGCACGGGATCCGCGCTATAGCGCGAGAAGCACGTGACCAAAATAGATCCAAACACAGTCTAAGGAGGATTATATCTCAAAGATTTGATCAAGATTTGGATAGATTTGACATTAAGCTATTAAAAGGGGTTGTAAACCGTGAGTGGTCATCTTTGGCAGAGGGAATTGCAGAAAACACAACAGAGAGAGAGCTCTTGGAGATTTATGCTGAAGATCAACGCTCAGAGAAACTGAAGACTAAAGATTCCTTCTTTTGTCTTCTTCTTCTTTTCCATTCTTTCATGAATTCTTTTTATTTTAATTTGTTAAAGTCAGATATGTCTACCTAATTTTTCGTTGTAGGTGGGATCACGGATCCAATGTGAATCATTTATACATTTTAAATTGTTTTTATAATTATTTAATTTATTTAGTTTTATTCTACATGTGTTAATTTTTTCATATCCTTTTTAGAATTGATCGCTCTATTATAGGGTTTTGAGAGTTAGAGCTCACAATAGGAATATTTGCGTTTTAATTCAGACAATGGTAGAATAACAATCTGTGCATGATCTAGACATAGGCTTACATATATTGCAGACTGTTAAATTCATCTGCTTAATGCTTAATTCAAGAGGGATCACTAGGACACTAGAATTTTAATTGGGTTAAAGGGTTGAATACACTAAGACATTAGGGTTCAACTATTTAATAGGGAAAAGATGAATTGTCTGAGCTAATGAGTTAATTAATTATAAAATTTAATTTATAACTATAAGGGAGGATCGAAGGTGAAGTGCATCTTGGCTGCAGTCTCTTTATCTTATTTACTCAAACCTTCTTTTATGTTCTTGATTATTATTGAATGCTTTTGCTTATTACTATTTTTAATTTTAATTCAAAATCTACTATTTCAATTAAATCGAACTTTCCAAATTAAGGGGACGAGTAAAAATAATAATTGGTGCATTGATCCTCGTGGGAACGATCTTTACTTATCACTTTATTACTTAAACGATCGGTATACTTGCCGATTTTGCAAAATGTGTTGTAGATATATTCGTTAATTATTAGTGCCCTCTAATGGTTCGGATTTAGTGGCAGAACTAAGCCAATTCAACTAGAATATCGTATCATGATTGAGGTTGGACAAAGAAGATAATAAAAAGGTGGAAGCTGATGATATATATTGGGGGGGTGCAACACCAATTACCAGCATTTCCATTCAAACAAACATAAAACATTTCCATGAACTGATTTATTAAACAAACATTAAACATTCTCATAGACCAAGACTAACTCATTTTATATGTAGAAAATCCTCCCAACATTTGTCTTATTTAAGATTCAAAAAAAAAAAAAAAACTGATTCAATCCAAATATTTAAGTTGTTAGATGAAGATATATTTAATATATATTTATCCAAAATCTTATGTTTTTAGGTGAAGTCAATGTTTATTATTCCTTAAGAGATCCTTTAAGAATGCGACTGGCTTATCATCATACCTAAGACAAGCCAGACTAGTTTCTTACTTCTAGTATATTTTAAAAAAGAATAATAAAAATTTAAGAATCTCCTAATCTTATGAGAATCAGTGGAATTTTAGGTTTAAGTATATGGTAGACGTAGTACAAGTGTAATCGTGTAAGTTTGTAAAGATCGTTAAGGAAATTCCATTGATTCATGTTTTTGGAAAAGAGCGTGCGTGATGCCTTGATTAAACATTGCAAGATTTTTATCTCCAAAAAAAAAAAAATTGTAAGGTTATGTTAAAAATATTAATGTTATTTCATTATATTGATTTCGATTGAATTTATCAATGAATTTCTGTTGCTGCTAGTCACGCCTATTTGTCGTCAATGAGCTCTGTTCTGGATGGTCGAACCCTATACGGCCCAATGACCTGAGCCCAAACCTCTTCCCTTCCCCCACGTCATCCCTATCAACCCTCCATCCATCCTGTCCCCAAGGTGACTGCACCCCCTGGGTGAGACACCGAAATGTCTCACCTTGGGATTCTAATTTCCTAGGAGACCGCCCCAAACACTATAAATGGTAACCCCCCATCGTCATACACTGACATCGTCGAAGCAGGGGCTGCATCACTGTTATCATAACAGTGTCAGTCACCCCTAACTGATCCCAAGGATGGTTCTCACCAACCCACGTAGGATCAACATCTCATTCCGCTATAAATACCCCCTTCTACACGCAAGGAGAGGCATCTTATGTATCATTATTCTGCCCATAATCCTTGAGTCACACACACACATACCCCCCTCATTATCATCTGTTATCATTCATACTTGGGATAATACCTCCTAGCTTGGTCTTTACCTGTGCTAGAGGTATAACTCATACAGTGACTCTATTCCTAAAGGGAACATAATGGGCTTATAGATCCCAACGGTACATTGGCGCCGTCTGTGGGAAACTATAAACTTATATTCCCAGTTTCCTACCAAAGATCTACAAAAGGCATATACTATATCTTAAACGAAGCATGGCAGTTACAACGAGAAGAACACAACCACCCCAGAAGGTCAGGCACAAACAGTCCATTCCAGCTCCCCACCATCGGTCCAGTCAGCTCCAGCCCAGCAAGTAATGGTTGCGACTCTCCCTCAAGTACTGCAGTCTGTTGATCCAT